CCTTTTGTACTGAGAGGAAGGGAGAGGGATAGAGAGTTAGAAACATCGATGAGAGAGAAACATCCATCAGCTGCCTCCTGCACACCCCCCACTGGGGATGTGCCAGCAACCAAGGTACATGCCCTTGACCGGAATCAAACCCAGGACCCTTCAGTCTGCAGGCCGACACTCTATCCACTGAGCCAAACCAGTGAGCCAAACCAGTCATATTTTAAAAAGGAAAAAAAAGAATGCAAAGACTAGAGATGCCAGAGCCCAAAGAGTGAGGGGGAGGGTGGGGCCAGTGGATCCTGCGGGACTGTGTCTGATCATGTGTGTCTGAGCATGCACCTGCATGTGAGCATATGCATCATGTCTAAGTGCTGTGCGTGGGTATATCAGCACGCGGCTCTCGGTGTGGTCCCCTGGCGGAGCATCAGCACCCCTTTTGGGAGCCCCGCGATCTGTCCGGACAGCCCTCTGGTTTCGGTGTCTGCGTGCCCGTGCGCGCCAGGCTCCGGGTGTTGGACGCGCAGGCGGAGATTGGCGTCTAGGCATCCTGGAGGCAGGACGCTCGCTCCATCTTTCTGGACTTTGCTCTCTCCGTGCTCGGCCACGTCTGCAGCAGGCACTCGGGGCCACTTAGCAGCTCTTACGTGATGACAATAATTACGATGCCAGAGATGTTCCCAGCTGCGCCCTGTTTCTTACCAGCCCCAGACACTCTTCCGTTATTACAGACAGAAACATCATCTCACCAGGCACGAAGCAGGAAGTGCACAACGGGAGAGGAAGAGAAATGGCCTCTTCGGAGTGGAAAAACACCTCTCTGGCTCGCAAATTGGATCGCTGGACAAAGCAAACAGTTTTCTGCCCGTCCTAGTTAATGGTGCCAGTGTGCAGAGAGACACAGAGGAGGGTGGGTGCCAGGGCCGCGGCCCCCCCAGGCAGGGCCGGGTGGCCAGGACTGTGGAGGGTCCTGAGTCACAGGACAGGCGGGGGGAGCCCCCGGAGCACGATCGCTCATGGGAAGAGGCCCGGGGTACAGAACTTCTGAAAGCATGGGGCGAGGTCCATCTTCCCCAAACAACACCCACCAAGTACCTGCCTTGCACCCAGACTTCAGCCCTGGTTCCGCCATGACCAGCTGAGCCACCTGGGGAAGCGGCTCAGCTCTCCAGGCTCCGGTGCCTTGTCTCTGAATCGGGGACAACACCAGGCTCTGCGCCCAGGCTGTGGTGCAGATGAAAAGGGGTGACTTCTGTGAGCAACTCAGCGCTGTGCCGGGCAGAGGGGAATGCTCGAGTCGCTCCCGTGTTCATAGTCCTTTCCGGAAGCCTTCCCCCCTCCTGTGCACCTCCCTCCTCCCTCCTCCCTCCTCCCCCCTCATCCCCTCACAGCTCTCGGGGGCCATATTTGGGCCCGGCTGGCGTGGCTCAGTGGTTGAGCGTCGACCTATGAACCAGGAGGTCATGGTTCAATTCCCAGTCAGGGGACATGCAGGGATTATGGGCTTGATCCCCAGGAGGGGGCGTGCAGGTGACAGCCGATCAATGATTCTCTCTCATCATTGATGCTTCTACCTCTCTCTCCCTCTCCCTTCCTCTCCGAAATCAAATATATACATATTTAAAAAGAGACCCAAGGAAGTGGGGGTAAGTAACACGGAGCACTCAAGGTCACTGTGGGAGGTGAGCTGCATGCCTAGCTCTGTGCTGGCACAGAAAGGCACGCACTAGATGGCCGTTAAAGATGACGTTTTATCCTGGGCTGGTCTGAGTGGGTTTAATTAGCACAGAGAAGTTAAGAAGCAAATATTTATTGAGCAATTGCCAGGCACAGTGGTGGGTATTTTCCATGTGTTATCTCAACTGGCCCTCACGCCCGCCCCAGGGACAGACAATGTCATCAATACCTCCTCACAGGCCAGGAAGCGGGGCTCCACCGTCACGCCCCCTCCTGCCTTTCCAGAGAAGCTGTCGTTGGCCTGGACGCTGCAGGCAGCATTGTCACCTCGCGCTGAGCAAGAAATGTTTGCCAGAGGAATAAATTGGCCAGCGTCGCTCATTTTGCCCACGGGACCCGGAGGTCTTCCCTCTGCCTGGCCGACCTCTCCTGCTACAAGCCTCATCCCTTCTCTCTTGTTCGGTCCTCAGCAAGGGCAGCTGGGAGCACAGTGTGTGCCCCTCGCACAGGGGTCCTTAGGAGTGAATGGGAGCTACAGCTGGGTGGGTCTCTGAGGCCTCCTCTAATGCCAGGGGCGGGGGCTGGCTGGGGCAGAGAGCGGGATCCTGCCGCAGGTTTGCAAGCCCTGGGTCTTGCTGGTTTGGCTTGGGGCTGCCCTCTCCAGGTCCCGGTCAGCTTTCTCATCAGCACAGCGGGGCCGGCAGCGGGGCCTGAGGGAGTCTGTCACAGGCCCTGGCACCTGGGCACCAGCCAGTCCTCTCTCCCTCTGCTGGTGGGAGAACCAGAGAAGAAAAATGGAGCCTGAATGGAAACTTCAAATCCCTGTTCCTCCCCAGCAGGACTTTCTGAACCGCCAGCCAGACCAGCCCTCCCGCCAGCCCATCTCCTTGCAGCCCGGGGCCTCCCCCAGGCCCAGCCTCCTGCTCCAGGCCAGCTCCCCCCGGAAGATGTCCCTGATCAGTCCCACCTCTTGCCTTGGATGCTTCTCACCTGTTTGCCTTCTTCAGGACATGAAGAATCAGCACTCACAGGGCCGCAGCTTAGTTAATATTTTAAAATGTTTCCATGAGTTCAGGCAGCATGTGTTTCTCACGCCTCAGTAGGAGACAGACACCCTGAGATGTGAGTGGGAAGGGAAAGCGGCCGGACCCATTCTCGGAGGCCTCGCTCTGGTCCGCCCGCAGAGAACGGGTCCCCGGACTGAGCCAATCAGGCCCCTCTCAGGGGTAGCGGGGCCTGTTAAAATGCTGATGCGCAGGCCCCCCCTCTGGAGCATCTGGCTCATGGGTGGCCCCATCGCCTCCCGTTAGCCATCTGTTGCTGCAAACAAAACGCTCCCCGGTTGGTGTTTAAAGCACCACCTCCCAATGCTCTCCTGGTCCGAGGAGTAGGAGCCGGGCAGGCGGCTGAGAGGTCTGTGGTCGGCTCGCTCCAGGGGCTGCCTTCAGCTCCAGCTGGGACGGGACATCCAAGGCGTCAGGGTCGCCTCCACCCGGTCTCTCTCCAGCAGGCGCTCTGCCTTGCTGAACAGCTGGCTGCCCAGAAGTGGCATTACAACATCTAAGGCACGAATTGCAGATCTCCTAAAAAAAAATAAAAAATAAAAAAAGATAGTCCTCACCCAAGGATATTTTTCCATTGATTTCCAGAGAGAATGGAAGGGAGGGAGAGAGACAGAAAGAGAAACATCTATTGTGAGTGAGACACATCGATTGTTTACCTTCCGAATGTGTCCCAACCAGGGCCAGGCACTGAGCCTGCAAATGAGGTACATGCCCTTGATGGGAATCAAACCTGGGGCCCTTCGGTCCGCAGGCCCACACTCTATCCACTGAGCCAAACCGGCTAGCACTGCAGATCTCTTAAGGCCCAGTCTCCAAACTTACTCAGTGATGGTTCTGCCTCTTTCTATGACTCAGAATAAGTCAGAGCCAGCCCGGACGAGGGACAGGAGGCAGACCCCACTCTCAGCGGGAGGGTGGCAGAGCTTCGCTGGGAGCCCATGGGAAGGAGACACCACTGAGGCCGTCTTTGTAAACACAATTCACCATAATTTTACAGCCAACTGTAGACGAGTGTGCTGTGCTCACGATCTGTGACCATGTCTCAGGGAGCCGCTCCCCACCACTCCCTCCCCCCTCTCCCTCTTCCCACACCAAACAGCCTCAAAGCGCTGTTCTGGGGGCTAATTCATTTGCGCTGGATTTCTCTGTCAATACCCATCTTGTCTTTTGCATTCAGCAAACATCCACCATATACCAATTCTTTTGGCAAGTAGAGGAGAGGGAAGAAGAGGGATAAAACATAAACAAGCCCTAGCCGGTTTGGCTCAGTGTATTGGCTGAGGACCAGAGTCCCGGGTTCGATTCTGGCCAAGGGCACATATCCTGGTTGGAGGCTCCTCCCAGCCCAGGTTCTGGTCAGGGTGCGTGTAGGAGGCAACCAATCAATGTGTTTCTCTCACATCGCTATTTCTCTCCATCTTTCCCTCTCTCTCTTCCACTCTCCCTAAAAAATCAATGGAAAAATATCCTTGAGTGAAGATTAACAAACAACAAAAACATAAACAAGACACCCTTCCCATTTCTAAGTTACTCACCATCTGAGAGTAGGCAATTCGGTTGATTCCCAGGCTAAACGGTGCAGCCCTCCTCCCAGGGCTAAAGCAGGAAGTTGTGAGTTCAACATAGGAGGACAGTTGTGGGTTCTAACAATGTGCCAGGGAGTGGGTGTGCCCAGGGCTGGATACCTCAGCTTGGATACAAGTCCTGAAAAATGAAAACAAATAGAGATAATGCTTTAGATGCTGGACATTAAATATGCCCGCAGCATAGAGGCAACTGCATGAGCAGCAGCATCAGAGATAACAACTACAGGAGGGAGGGGGAGGGGAGAAACCAAAGGACCCAAGAGTCCACTACAAACAGACGAGAGAGGCCTGGCTGCCATGGAGTGCAGGAGGCAGCCCATCAATGAGTCTGTCTCATCATTAATGTTTCTCTCTCTCTCTCTCCCTCTCCCTTCCTCTCTGAAATAAACAAAAACACATTTAAAACAAAACAGATGAGAGAGGCAGTGCCTGTATGGCCACAGTGATCTGCAGACCTGCCCAGCATCCCTCTTCAATGCCCACTGTCATCAGAATTGAGCCCCCTTCCCAAGGCAGTTCAGGCGCAGCCCCGGGATGCCAGGCCTCCTGGGAGAAGTGCAGGGACGTTCCTCTTGCCCCTGGCAGTTGGTCTGCAACCTTCACGTGACTTCCATATAAAGAAGGTCAACAGTCCACCAGCCCACGTCATTTTTATTGTTTTCTTAAACACCAGCTCAGGCTTTGGGTGGGGGTGGGAGCTGGGGTGCAAAAGAAAATAAGTGGATTCAAATCCATCTTAACTGCATGGCAAACATGGCCCAGTTCGTGGGTGATGATCAACTTGCAAAGCGAGTTTATAGTCTGAATGGAGGTGCCTGCTGGGCCACAGGTTCTCCCGGCTCAAACACTGCGCTGCGCCTCTGTTCTGAGCCCATCCAGCAGGTTGGACAAAACTCTATGATGATGAACAGGTGGCTCTCGCCATGAAGCTGGCTCCGGGCACTTGGGGAGGGCGGGGCGTGAGGCGCCTGCGGTGCTCACAGGCTGTGGCCTCTGTGCGCCAGGAAGGCAGAGCACGAGGCTATTCTGGTCTTGTCTGGGGAGCCATTAGCATTGCATTTCCAACGCCATTATCTCCGAGGGGCAGCATCGCTGGGCTTTCTCCCAGGGGCATCACTGGGAGCGGCAGTGGTGGCATATTGTCAGAGTGGAAGGGCTGGGGGAGGAGGCGTCACGTGCTCCAGTCTGGAGAACCAGCAGCTCTGGCCAACGTGCGCTCACAATTAGAGGCCAGCACCTTGAGGTGACAGTTCACGCTTATAGGACAGGTTTCAGTTATTCAGGCAGCAACTGGTTTTCCAAACTAATGGAACTGGCATGGATTTTTCACTTCAAAACAAACCTCATCCAGGCTTTGTCACGGCTTGTTTTTTTTCCTGGGGGGAAGGCAGGGCGAGATTTTATTTCCGACTTTCCCACTATGGCGGCCTCTGCTTTCTTCCCTTCCCCCCAGTTAAGGCCTTGGCATCAAGGTAGCGAAGGGAAGGGGCCATGCAGGACCGACTCCAAGAGGAGAGCTGGTGGAGGGTGTGTCCTCGACATGCTGGCTGTGCCAGCCTGTGCCCGTGGGGCTGTGCCTGGCAGGGAGGTCTTCCGGGGGAGGGGCTTTCTCAGGAAGAAACACTGTCCTCCCAGCTGGGCCCTCACTCATATCAGGTAGGGCCATGCTAACTGCATGGAACAGATAATGAACTACTGCACATGTATGTAATAGGAGCTGAATTTTCTCATGAAGCCAGAACTCCACAATGAAGTCATTCAGATGTTGATGGCCGCCCATCCGACCTCCTTAGTAGGAGACTTCTTTCTTCCTGGTTGCAAGATGGCTGCTTCCCCTCCAGGCATCACATCCATCCTTCCGAGAAATAAGAGGAGAAGGAGGAGGAGGAGGAGGGGGAGGGGGGGGAGCAGGAAGAAAAAAAGTCAAGGGCAAAAGGTACATACTACTGTGTCTTTCTTAGAATTCTCACTCAGGACAATTCTGTTCCCATCTCCTTGGCCAGAGTTGGGTCATATGGACACCCCTCATTGCAAAGGAGTCTGGGAAATCGGTAGTTTAAATTGAACGCATTGCAGTTCTGATAGGAAGGGAAAAAGGAGAGTGGATCTAGGGAACCAACCATGTCTGCCACCCTCCCCAGTGCCTCCAGCTCCATGGAGACATCCTTCCCTGAACTACAATGACAGTGTCAGGGTCACCTGCCCTTCTTTGCTGGCCTAGGAGCTCTGGGAGACTCACCACCCAGTTTTCTCCTGCCTGTGCCCTCAATAGCTGCTTTACCCATTCATCTTGGTGAGAGAGAACAATGCACATGCACTCACAGGCCTTGTCTAGCCCGAGGTGCCAGTGCGCAGGGAGCCAGGTCTGCAGGCCCTGTGGTTAAACGGAGGGATTGCTGGCTGGAGAGAGAGAGAGTGAGCAAGAGAGTATTCAACATGAATCTGAAAAGGTGGTGGGGCAAGATCATGTAGGGTCTTGTGAGCTATGATCCCCTTAAATTCAACTAGTATAAGTGGGTTGCCAAGCAAGACACTGGGGTCTATGGGTGAGTAATATGGAAGTCCCGTTCTATTGGGGCAGCACACATGCAATTAGACATCATAAAAGTCAGACTCTGAGATGTCCGAGGACAGATGTGGAGACATAACACTGCTCATGGCAGCAGGGACAAGACAGCTTCCCTTTCAGTAGGTGGTACTTACATTTAGTTTTACCCAGTAGGTAGGATCCTGGTAAGCAAAGAAGTGAAAGAGAGAATGTTTGAAGGAGAGAAAATTATCTGGGTAACAGTTTGGGGGCAGAAAAGCAAGCAGTGAGCTGGAATAATTGTGACTGGCCCTCTTGAGCTAGGGGACAGTGTTGGCAAGGACTGGGGTGATAGCATGATAGATGGATGGGGAAGGCAGTGCACGGAATGTCTCAGGAGATGAAGTAGAAAAGGGTATTGGGTGTAAAGAAAGAATGTCATGTTACGTTGGATTTTATGTCCACACAACCCAACGCAATCCCTATCAAAACACCATGTGCCCTAGCTGGTGTGGCTCATTGGATAGAGCGTCAGCCTGCGGACTGAAGGGTCCCAGGTTTGATTCCAGTCAAGGGCACATGCCCAGGTTGCGGGCTCGATCCCCAATGGGGGGCGTGCAGGAGGCAGCCGGTCTATGATTCTCTCTCATCATTGACGTTTCTATCTGTCTCTTCCTCTCCCTTCCTCTCTGAAATCAATAAAAAATATATTAAAAAAAACACCGATGGCATTTTCTTCACGGACCTAGAACAAAGAATCCTAAAATCAATTTGGAACCACAGAAAACCCCTAGGAGCCACCGCAGTCTTGAGAAAGAAGAACAGAGTTGGAGATGTCTCTGTGGAAAGTCACGTGGATCTAGGGGTCTCCCGGACCGCTGAGCCTCACTACTCCAGGACCTGTCTGTGGCTCCCCGCACTGCACAGCTCTCCTCAGTGTGTATATACTTCCTGTGTTCAGGTTTTAAGACCGGACCACATACTGAACAACTAAATCACCTGGGATTTGCGCTGGAAGGGCCTCAGGATTATCTAGTCCACTCCTTCCTTGCACAAATGAGAAAGCCGAGGCCCAGGGCTGGGACTCTTCCTAGCAGTGCCGCCTCCCTAGGTTTGTAATGACGTCCCCAGGCCCTGCCCAGGCTCGACGGTCCAGCCTCTCACCAGCCAGCCCTCCTCCTGTGGACCCCCCATCTCACCTCAGGCTGGGCAGCCTCCTGGCCTCCTGGGTGCCAACCAGTGGCCAGGCCTGGCTGAGTTTCTGCCAAGCTGGCCTCCTCCCTTTCTTCATGCCTGCCCGCCCCCTCCCCCCAGCCCCTCCCCCCATCCCTGCTTCTTGAGCACTGAGGGCTGGGCCAAGCCTCCAAGGGGCCGGTGCTTACAGGGGGGCCAGTTCACAGGGGAGGAAGCGGAGGCGCTCGATCGGTTGAGCTGTGCGGAACTGGGGTTTAGATCTCCAGGTGCAGTTTTCCGTCTTGAATTGGGACCCTGCGCAGCGGGCTGACTTGGCGGGGTCTGGAAAAGGGGGTTCTGGGCTGCAAATCTGCGGCTGGGGTGGGCGCCCCACCGGGCTCTCGCTGAATGGCAGCGACAACCAGACTCGCGGCGCCAGGACGCAGCCCTTTGCGCGCTGC